GGGGGTGCTTCATCAACCGAACCCATATGCCTCCTCCCCTACACTACCACACCACCTCCGGAGCTACCAGTGGCCGCGCAGGGTGATGGCGAGGGCAGTGATGCCACCCTCAGCCACTCCCCTACGCCGGCCATTGCTGAGGACCACGATGACATCATGGGTGGCGAGGCCCTGTGCCGCCCAGGCAGCCCACACGTGTCTCCCTTGCCTATTGTGGGAGACCTTGAGGTTGACACAGTGGCACTACCTGGCTCGGGGGGTCCATCACCGGCACCTACCCCCCAAGCTGGCACAGATCTCCTCCCAGCGGGATCTGAGGACGCTGGATCCCTGCCACATGCCACACCGGCCTCACCGACGCCCTTGGTCGGGGCAGTGGAGATGCATGCGGTTGGCAACCTCATCTCGTCATCAACTGAAGAGCAAGCCGCACCACCTGTGACGCCGACTGCGACCTATACAGAGGAGGTGACCATATCCGTGGACACTACTACCCTGGCAGTGGGAGAGATGGCACCTGCAGTTACGACAGCGCCCATCAAAGTGCCGCGTCGAAGCTCTAGGAATGCGGCAACGGCGGATGTCCATACACTACACAAGGTTTGAGCAATGGCAGCCTAAGAAGAACCTTGAATTCCCAGGTAACTCTTTCACTAGCTTTCCAGATTCCAAAGTCCTTTCAAACCTTGGTAGGGTAGGCATCAACCTAGGTACCTCAGATGTAGTTACAATAAAAAACTTAGAGGTAGACAGGTTAGTTTTATGTGCTAATACAAAGAAAGGTTCTGCTAAATCTAAACTCTCCAATCTTGAGAGTGATGATGAGCGGGATGACCAAATTGATGCAATTCTCAACCACGCCTGTGGAAATCTAAATGAGAATTTGCTGGAGGAGGAGAATGATCAAATCATAGATCTCTCTCCACTCCGACGGAAGAAAAAATATAATAATGCCAAGAATACAGTTAATGGCAAACTTCCCAAAAAGCCAAAGACCCCCTCAAAAATTATTATAAAATGAAGGGTGTTTTCTGGAATAGCAGAGGTCTTGGAGACTTGGCTAAGCACAGGTTTTTGGCTGAATTAGTGAAGGAAGAGCAAATTAATTTTATTGCTCTATCCGAAACAGGATGGGACTCGTTCCCGGATCATGTTCTCAAAAATCTTTATGGGGGACATGATTTTCTTTGGCACACCATGGCACCCCACGGTAGGTCTGGGGGCATCCTTCTAGGTGTGGACTTGAATGTTTTTTACATTGGAGCCATTGCTGAGGGAGATTTTTATGTAAAATTCACCCTAAGAGTCAAATCAAATGACTTCAAATTTGTGCTATATATGGTATATGGACCAGCACAACTACAGAATAAGAGTGCTTTCTTAGTAGAACTCGCCAACACGTGCTCCAAAGAAACCCTTCCATATATGTTAGGAGGAGATTTCAACATAATGAGAGGCCCAGAAGATAAAAGTTCTAGGGACTTTGACCCTAAATGGCCAAATCTTTTTAATGCTATTATTGAATCTCTAGATCTTAAGGAGATTACAATGGCAGGACATCAATACACATGGGCGGGGCTAGGGGATAATCCAACCTTTGAGAAGTTAGATAGAGTTCTCGTTAGCACGGAATGGGAAATCATGTTCCCATTGACAACAGTAGAACCTAGGGATAGGAATATCTCTGACCATACTCCCCTATTTCTTAACACAGGTGCTTCAACCCACCAGACCCACAATCGTCCTTTCAAATTTGAGAGGGGATGGTTGATACGAGATGGATTTTATGATATGGTTGCAAATATCTGGCAATCTCCATGCTCTAGGTCAACCCCCTTGAATGTTGGCGCTTCAAGATCCGCAGAGACTCAACAATATCTAAGGGTCAATTTAAAACACCGCAGGGTCATATCGAAAAGAAAAAAAGACTCTGCTAGCTCTTTTAGAGAATCTTGATAAGAAAGCTGAGATCTCTCCCTTATCTGATCAAGAGATTAATCTGAAGCATTATCTAAAAGAACGTTTAGTTAACCTTCTGAGAGAGGAGGAACTAAAATGGTATGAGAGAGCCAAAGTTAAAACCCTCTTGGAAGGGGATGCTAACACTCGGTTCTTTCATCTAGTTGCCAACGGGAAACATCGCAAGCAACATATCTATAAACTTGAAAATGATCAAGGTGTTGTGATCGGTGATGATCATCTCAAAAGTCATATTATGACTTATTATAAAGAACTCTTTGGCCAGCCGAAGAATTTCGATATCTCCCTTAGGGAAGACCAAAACCTGGATATTCCACAGGTATCCCCGGAGGAAAACGACATCCTCATCAGCCCGTTCACTGAATCTGAAGTGAGGGAGGCGGTCTTCCAGATGGAGCGTAATAAAGCTCCAGGGCCAGATGGTTTTCCTGCGGAATTCTATCAGGTGTTTTGGGGAGTGATCAAGGATGATCTTCTACCCTTATTTGTTGAGCTGCATAGGGAGGCTCTTGATCTCTACAGTCTTAATTTTGGTATTATTACCTTAATCCCAAAAGTGAATAATGTCATAAAAATTCAGCAATACAGGCCAATTTGTGTTCTTAACGTGAGTTTTAAAATATTCACTAAAGTGGGCACAAATAGGCTTAATATGGTAGCTAAAAATGTGGTGAGACCAACGCAGACTGCCTTTATGACAGGTAGGAACATAATGGAAGGGGTCGTTATCTTACACGAAACCATCCATGAACTTCACACCAAAAAGAGAGACGGTGTCATTTTCAAGATTGACTTTGAAAAGGCATACGACAAAGTGAAGTGGCCTTTCCTACAACAAACGCTACGAATGAAAGGTTTCTCCCCCAAATGGTGTCGATGGGTTGAAACTATGGTCACCGGAGGAAGTGTGGGAATCAAGGTCAATGATGATGTAGGACCCTATTTCCAGACCAAATGTGGACTCAGACAGGGAGATCCAATGTCACCAATCTTATTCAACATCGTTGCAGATATGCTAGCTCTACTTATTAACAGAGCAAAAGCCGATGGTCAGATAAGAGGTGTCGTCCCCCACCTTATAGACGATGGTCTGTCCATATTACAATATGCAGATGACACCATTATCTTTATTGATCACGACCCAGAACAAGCACAAAATCTGAAATTGTTGCTTTGCGCTTTTGAACAGCTATCTGGGCTGAAGATCAACTTCCACAAGAGCGAAGTCTTCTGCTATGGTGCAGCTAAAGAGATGGAATCCTTTTATACTAGTCTCTTTGGATGCAATACAGGGGAATATCCCTTCAGATATCTAGGGATCCCAATGCACCATAGACAACTCCTGAATTCTGAATGGAGAAAGGTGGAAGATCGTTTCGAACAGAAACTCTCTTGTTGGAAAGCGAAATACCTGTCATATGGGGGTAGACTAGTTCTGCTTAATTCAGTCTTAAGCAGCCTACCCATGTTTATAATGTTCTTCTTTGAGATCCCTAAGGGGGTCATTAAAAACCTAGATCATTATAGATCAAGGTTCTTTTGGCAAGGCTACTCAGATAAACATAGATATCGTCTTGCCAGATGGGACATCCTTTGTCGTCCTAAGGACCAAGGAGGATTAGGTATCCTAAATTTACAATTGCAAAATAAATGCCTTCTAGCCAAATGGCTGGTTAATCTGCTAAACTCAGAAGGCATATGGCAATCTCTTTTACGGAATAAATACTTAAGCTCCAAGAGCCTAACTCAGGTGGCAGCCAAACCCAATGACTCTCATTTCTGGAGAGGACTCATGCATATCAAAGATGAGGTGCTGGCTAATGGTTCATTCGATATTAAAGATGGAAGCAACACTAGGTTTTGGGACGACACATGGGTAGGAGATAAGCCTCTGAAATTTAAATATCCATCCTTATATAATATAGTGCGGGATCCTCACGCAACAGTCTCAAAAGTGATGACTACTAGCCCACTAAACATCTCTTTTAGAAGTGCTCTGGTGGATAATAAACTTGCAGAATGGCTTAGTTTAGTAGCACGGATCTCAAATGTCGAATTGGTGGAAGGTTCAGATTACTTCAGATGGAGTTTAACCAAATATGGGTTATTCTCTGTCCGCTCTATGTATCTCTATCTTATAGATACATAAACACCTTTTCATCATAGGAAGATCTGGAAGATAAAAATTACTCTAAAAATTAAAATCTTTCTTTGTTCTTGCAAAGGGGTGTCGTCTTAACCAAAGACAACCTCGCTAGGAAAAATTGAAAGGGGAGTCAGAAGTGCATCTGCTGTAATGGGAATGAAACTATCCAACACTTGTTCCTAGATTGTCCCCTTACCAAAATGATATGGAGGATTATCTTTTTTGCTACTAGTCTGACCCAACCAAGATCAATCAGCCACATGTTTGGTAATTGGCTAACTAATCAAAATAAAAGGATTAGAAATTTGATTTGGGTGGGGGTGGCTGCCATGTTTTGGGCTATTTGGAGATGCCGTAATGATGTTGTTTTTAATCAAATGAGATCTAACTCTATGATGCAGGTAATTTTCAGAGGAGCGTACTGGTTACGCTCTTGGGCCCAGCTGCAGCGTGATGAGATAGCCAAGGACGCGCTCTCTACGATGAGCAAGAAATTGGAAATAATTGCTTTAGAGATATCCAATAAAGGATGGAAATATTTATACTATTTGAATTAGCGTCCGGGTCGATCTATAAGACTGACTCTCTCTTTTTCCTCCAAAACTTTGTAATAATGGGCTGTGTACATCTATGGATGTAGAGGCCGGATATTGTTTTATCCATTATCTAAAAAAAATATAATACCTTGCAATGGGACGTACAATTTATTATGCGGTGCTTGTGACAATGATAATGAGTTAGCTATTTCGTTGAATTTAATTGGGATACAGCAGGTCAAAGAAGCAGAGAGCGCCATAAGTACGAAGACCTCCTATCTGAAGTTAGCCAGCCAAATCGCAGTGGCTATGGTCTAGTTCGACTTGTGGTGGTACGCATGGCACCGAGCCCTACACACGCCAACAGGTTTCTCTACCGGAACCTCCACTCGTGGCACCACCGTCTCGTGGTTCCCTACTCCTTCGGAGCCTTGTACGGACACCCCCTCGAGAGCTTCATCACTGACACCATCGGTGGCACGGCCGCCTTCCTGGTGTCCGGCATGTCGCCGAGGGCTTCTATCTTCTTCTTCTCACTCTACAGCGTCAAGGTCATTGACAACCACTGCGGCCTGTCGCTGCTACCCAGCTGGGATCGCCTGAGCTTCTGGAACAACACGGCGTATCACGACGTGCACCACCAGTTGCGTGGTGGCAAGTATAACTACTCTAAGCTCTTCTTCGTGGTGTGGCACAAGATTTTTGGGACGTACATGCCCTTCCTCATTGAGGACAGAGAAGGAATGCTCTAAGTCTGGGCACCTGGCCTTGACTACAGGAGAAGCAACAAGTAGCTATTCTCATACATGTGTATCTCAAGATTTAGAGTGTATATGATCCAATAAAATGTATGTATACTGAGTATATGATCATATTAGATCACCCGAAGTAGTATTATGTTATAATGTTATATGTGTAAGTATGCATAGAGTATGTGGTCATATTTTTTTATATACTACTGTGATGATATTATATATACTAAAATATATGGGTTTGTTTGAATTTTTTTGTCACGTAGTAAGATTTAAAATATTTTAAAATGAGTAATATGTTTAAAGTGATAAATAAGTATGCATCCATACGCAAGGTGGTTTATTGACTAGAGTCCTGAAAGCCTAGGCCATAATCCACGCGAGCTGGTTGGGTGGCACCAAACACATTAGCTGTCCATGTTTGTGGTCATCACAAGCATCATGACATAGGGTTGATTACAAGGGTACAAGGTGTTGGCTCTGTCAGAAGGTCAACAATATCTAGATCTGGAGTTGCCTCAAGTCCATCGAGGTAATCTCTGTCGACTGCATCCAAGGCTGAGGCACAACTGCTCTTCCTACCACCTACAGGGCTAGGGGTGTTGGAAGGCGACCTCAAATGCACTCCTTGGTCACATAGCATGGCCATGATATCATGTGTGACCTTCTTAGTAACTTCTTCTATCACTTGGCTTCTAACTTCTTCTTTGATGACTTCCACATCCACATCACTTGTTGATTTCTTCCTCTTTCTGTACATGCCGCCGTAGTCCGGCCAATGCTTCCAACCACTGTAACTAGACACACCACGCCCGTGCCCTGTCTGTTATGGGCTGCCTAAGACCTCTGTGAGCACATCCTTTTCCCTAACCAAAGTGAGCCCTAAAGACTCAAGGGCTCCTTGCTTCTCTAAAATTTGCTTAGATACACTTTCAGCTGAATCTTTCAACCAATGAATCTCAACACCCTTTTGACTTAACCAAAGTACTCCATGCACGCAGCCAATTCCTTGGGCGGCCACTTGGAAACTTGTCCCAAGGATTATTGATGCTTTGGGCGGCTAACTCTCTGTCCTCCTGCTCCCACTTTGTATCTTTTCCTTCATACCCTGCTGTCCCCAGGCAGTGGTCATGCAAGTTCCTCTCCCGAAGCTTCTTGTACTTCTCACTTGTTGCGTTTGCTTCTTCGTTGTCCTTTAGTTTCACAAACGCTGCCCAATCTTCTTTTCGGAATGTATGTGTGCTTTACCGTGGCATCCAACCCTTTGTTGACGAAATTGCGTGTAAGGTCGCTTTTGTGGGTTCTCCAACTCTTGGCTACCATCTGCATTATCTTCTTACACGCAATAGCCTTCAATTCTTCTAGAAACTCCAACCAAGGCTGGACACACTCATCAAATAAAGTCATCTTGTCTTGTTCACTTAGTGAATTAAATGAAGGCAGGACCAAGGAGATCCTTTGTCTAGCAATCAAACCAACCAACCTCCTCATTCTTATCTAGGTGACAACTAGCTTGTCATCTGGCCACAGGGTGACTATGCTCTTTCTTCTCCGGGGTTGACGAGGAGGTTCAGATTACTGCACCTCTACATTAGCATCTCTCTCTTCATCCTATACAGTAGCATCTCCCTCTTGGTCCCTTGCATATGCATCTCTCTCTTCCTCCTCTTCATTAGCATCTCTGTTGTGTCCCTCCTCTCCACTATTAGTTGGTTCTTTGTCTTCTCCTCCTAATGATGCCGTAGATGCGTGATCAGACACCTATCAAACAAAGGTGAGCAAGGTTGTTCGTGAACTTGATAGAGGCTCGATGCTTCGTTGGTTCCTTGAGGTTTCTCCACTGTATGAAGATTCAATGGACATGTCTTCCATTGACTCGTACTCATATGGCTCATCACATTTGGACTTTCCATACAAATCAACAAGTTTACTCCAACTGAGATGAGCACTCTCTGGAGGTGTTTGTCAATTGAAGATTGCCTCACCTAAAACCTCTGCACTCAATGTACTCAACATGACATTAATTGCTTGAGCATTGAGTTGCACACATCTCTCTTCCTCTTTTCGAATATTTTTGTAGTTGCTCCATTCAACTATAGGAAGAGGGATGCTTGCATCCACAATATGCTCAACAAGAGGACTAATAGCCCTAAAAGCATTGAGTACATGAATTGACCAAGATAGAAACTTTGAACCATCATTTTAGAGAAGCACCGGCTCCGACTCGTAAGCGTCGACATCCTTTTCTCACGGTAGTGAAGCTTTTAGTGAGTCCTTGCTTTGATACCAATTGAAAGGACCGAGGATGCTGCCTAGAGGGGGGTGAATAGGCATTTCTAAAAAAATCAACCCTTTAAAATGTGGAAACGATTAGTAGTGGAATTTTCGATGACTCAGGAATTCCAAATCAGAGAAATAACCCCTCATGAGTTAGCCAATAGAATAAACAAGGTGTATAGAATATATATATATATAGGAGCTACAACCCTGCAACACAAAGTTAGACTAATAGTTAAACAAAAACAACTCTGTCCCCCAATATCGGACATCTCCGGTATCAATACCGGACGTGTCCGGTATACACGTGTTGTGCAAATCAGCTCCCAACTTCTTCCTTTCGATTTCTCCTTTTGCACCAAGTTGCTGGCACCTTTTGGTAACCTATTTACAAGCTCAAGCAACACAAAAGTATCACAAATACCAAATCAAAAGAGAGATCGAGACACGGTATTTGTTTTACCGAAGTTCAGACTCCATCGAGTCCTACTCTCCGTTGAGGGGGTTGCGAGCGACCCAACGAAGGTCAGCTCTAGAGGACCACAAAGGTCACCCTAGCCGGAGTCTTTTCTAACTCCTTTTCCTCCTTCCACTAGTTGATCCCTTCCCTTGCGGCAGTGGAATCGAATCATTACAAACTTCCTAAGGCACACCATAATCTCTTGGGTGCTCTCCGTTGAGTCCTACTCTCCGTTGAGGGGGCTACGAGCGACCCAACGAAGGTCAGCTCTAGAGGACCACAAAGGTCACCCTAGCTAGAGTCTTTTCTAACTCCTTTTCCTCCTTTCACTAGTTGATCCCTTCCCTTGCAGCAGTGGAATCGAACCATTACAAACTTTCCGAAGCACACCACAATCTCTTGGGTGCTCTCCGTCGAGTCCTACTCTCCGTTGAGGGGGCTACGAGCGACCCAATGAAGGTCAACTCTAGAGGACCACAAAGGTCACCCTAGCCAGAGTCTTTTCTAACTTCTTTTCCTCCTTTCACTAGTTGATCCCTTCCCTTGCAGCAGTGGAATCGAACCATTACAAACTTCCTGAGGCACACCACAATCTCTTGGGTGCTCTCTGTCGAGTCTTACTCTCCGTTGAGGGGGCTACGAGCGACCCAACGAAAGTCAGCTCTAGAGGACCACAAAGGTCACCCTAGCCGAAGTCTTTTCTAACTCCTTTTCCTCCTTCCACTAGTTGATCCCTTCCCTTACGGTAGTAGAATCGAACCATTATAAACTTCCCGAGGCACACCACAATCTCTTGGGTGCTCTCTGACGACGCCTAGCCGTCTAGAACCAAAGAGTCCAAGAGTAACAAATGCAAATCATGAGATCGACAAATATGCACAAATGCTCAAGGGTGGCTTGCTCTCAATTTTGAATCTCACTCAACCCACAAGATGGATTTTGTAAATTGGATCAATCACTCACTAAGAGAGGGTTGGAGAGTGTTCTCAAGGCTCAAAAATGTGGATGAATGTCAGCAGAATCAGCAGCATCCAAAAGTGGAGGCTAAGAGGGTATTTATAGCCCCTTTGAAAAACTAGCCATTATAGAGCCATTGGGATCCGGTATTCGGTATTGCCCGTACAGCCCCAACGGTCACTAAGTTAGTGGTGTTGCGAGGCTTTGGAACTCTCGACGATTGCCGGAACTTCCAACTTCTGGAACTCCCGATACTTGTTGGAACTCTCGACGAACCAACCCGAGAACAATGAAGAAGTCGCTACGAGCCAGCCAATACCGGACACGTCCGGTATCATACCAAACACGTCTGGTATCTCTAGCTGCAGGAAAGCGAGTTAGCACTTGTATCACTCTTTCACTCAATCCTCACATGGGTTGGCTTGAGCACTTATGAATAATCATCTATCGACATAATGCATCCCTCTTAATAGTACGACAAACCTATTAACTCAAGATCAAATGAAAAACGGAGTTTGAACCGCTTGAGTTGATTTCCTTTGAACCACATGCCATAGCTTTCAATCTTCGACAAGTGAGGGTGCCAATCATGTTAACTTTGATTTTCTCCTTGAGCAAAGCCATATTGAGCATGCGACTTGATTCCATTCAACAAATATGAGTTGACTTCAAATGTATCAAGTCACTTCAACAATTCATCCAAGGTTTGATCCTTCACTTCAATGTGACCAATATAGTTTGATTGGTACCTCAACTAAATGCAAGTACTTTCTTCTTCACCCTAGCTAGGTTCCTCGGTCGTTAAGCCATCGCTTGCCCTTCACCCTTGCTTAGTACCTCGAAGTCTTTCCTTGCTATCTTCACCATCTCAAACCATCAAGTCACACTTGGTGTTGAATCATTCATTAAGATCATTTGTATAATTGTCTTTCAATGTAGCAAGCTCTAGAAAGTGAGACCATTCCATATGTAATCCCTCATGTCTTATTAATTATTTTTCAACGTGCTTGCTTTCATATGAATCATCAAAATCCCACAATGAATAAGCCTTGAATGAGTTATATTTACATTGTTGTCTTGTGTTTGAAATAGATTGTTTATACAACAACACATCATTTTGGCTTTCATCAAGTACCTGTGAGATAACCCATTTCCTATCCAACACTTAGCACATAGGTTAGACCTTTAATCACGTTGTCATTCAATTATCCAAAACCCACTAAGGGGCTTGATGCATTTTCATATATTTACTATGACTTTGACCTTAATTTATATTATGTTTCTATTTATCATGCTTATAGTTTAC